TCTGCCCCCGTCCCTAAGAAATTGCTTATGATGGCTGGTATTGAGGACTGTTACACTTCTGCCCGTGGTTCAACCGGGACCTTGGGTAATTTTGCTAAGGCTACTTATGCTGCTATAGCAAAAACCTATGCCTACTTAACTCCGGACCTATGGAAAGAATTGCCTTTAGGCTCGACGCCATATCAGCAGTTCAGCGATTTCTTGGCCGATAAACCAGGTGCTCGTCATCATGTTGATGTTTAAAGATATAAAAAATTTGGAATAAAGGCTTTAATACATATTATTAATATTTGTTTGTGTCAAACAGGAAAGTGCCATATTTTGAAATCTACAACAATTTACTTTAAGAATAGGTGGTAGTCAGCGCGGCCATCTTCATTGTTGTTAGGAAGGTTTTTATATTTAACATATCTTTGGTAGCAAACAACAAAAAAAACACAAATAAGAATTCTAGAGTTAAATATTGTATGGGATACAAATATGCAACGTTTAACAACTCGAGTCCCTTAGTGGCTCGTGCATCTAGGATAAAGAAAATGAAGTTTGCAAATAGAATAGATTGAGAAATAGGTGAATTTGTTGCGTATATAAGAAGTAAATTTAAGAAACAAATAGTATAGATTTACACCCCTTTATAGTTTATCAAATTTAAATATGTTGTTTTGCAAAATTGATTTCATAGCGATCCGGATTTCGATCTCCTTATTGTGGTAAAAACCAAAGCATGGTAACATTCGACAAAATCACATTTATTGACAGGTTTTATTTTAAATGTATATAATTTGAATCAAAATTTTTTGTCGAAATAAAAACGGGGTCGTATTTATAATATCATTGGTGTGTGAATGATAACTTAAAGCAAGGAAAAAACAAAGGAAGTAAATAACCAAGACAATAATCCAAATACATTATTTTCAATATATCTAACAATAAACTGCCCCAACTGTAAATTTGTTGACAATCTTCTCTTAATATTTCCCAATCATTTTTATCGTTAATTTCTGTTTGATAAGACTCTTTTACTTTATGGCACCAAAACAGAAAAGCGTGGAAAATAATTATTAATCTTCGTACCATTTTTTGAAATTTCGTTATAATAGAATTAGATGGTTTTTACTTTCATTAATGGCATCACATATGCGCTTACGTATTTTTTGCTTTACGTTTCTTTTGAATATCGAATATATATTCGATCCGACGTCGGCAGCCATAAACCCAAAAGCAAAGATGCGTCGAATTTATTCGCAGACGACGACCAAAAGTCTGTTCTATAATATTAACTGTCATTAAAAATGTTTGGCAGTCCTAAAATAAACCCCAAAGTGGGCCTCAGCGCAAGGATGATGAATAAAAACACTAAAATTAAACTAACTGGCAATATATGCAGTACGGCTTCTTTGCAAAATGGCCACTTCTCGCTCGTTCATTTCATTTTTTGC